ATTTCCATCTGCATTTCGGTTCGCGGCTCTATCTGGCGTGGGTGAATCGGTAAGAAGAGGACGAGGATCGAGCGTCCAGCTAACGCGCTGCGAGCCGTCAAGATTTCTATCGGATTGCGGCGGTGCGCGGCGCGAACGCGACCAAAAATAGCGGACATACCGCGACGGTTATTCTCGGTCAGGCCGATTCAACATGCACCCAAACGTTATCGGCAGAGATAGCACAGTAGCATAGTAAATAATGCATCGGGAAGATAAAAATTTTACTCGTAAAATTTACCTTCTAATTATAAACAAGAACTTTTTAAACCTCATGTTAAACTTTCGTGAATCTCTTACATGCATTTCTACCATCCAGATTAGTTTTAATCTCGGTTTAATTTTCTTTTTATTTTGTTCAAACTGTAAAAAAATAAAAACCAAACTTAAAGTTAATCTACATTGATATAAATAGATTGATAACAAATTTGGAATCAATTTTTTTATTGAAAGTTGAATCTGCATAGAAGGTAATTCAACAGAAAGAATTATTTGAAATTATTAAAATATTTGAAATTTAAGAAATTCTTTTGAAATTTTCGTGAAATAATATATAAAAGAAATTAAATAAGGATTAAGGATAGAATATGTGATGGCATTCACACTTTCTATCATTTTATATATAATATTTTCTCTAATAAAAAAGGGAAAGATGGATGAGTTATATTAGTGTTTCAACAAACTAATTAACAAATTAGCAATTATCACAGTTGAAAGCATAAGTAATGCTCTCACCCTCTTCCAACGGATTGATCGGCAGCTAAAATCATAAATAAAAAACAAAATACAACGAAATAAGCGAAAAAAGCAGAAACAGAAATAAAACAGAAAATATACAATAATAAAATAATAATAGAAATGCATAAGCGCGAAGCGTAAAACAAGTTAATTAAACAGAGCCTGGAGAAGCGACAAATAAGTCTTCCTCTCGGTACAAACTTCACCGACGTACTTCTCTCTAGGCTCATCCATTGCTAGAAAAATATAACGGCAAAATGTTAATCAGGAAATGATCTAATTTAAAGAAATTTCAAATAAAAAACTTTTATAATATATACAAATTTATATCAATTGGGAATCAATGTCTAAATCTCGATATTTCTTAATTTAAAATTAAAAAAGATTTAATTTATTATTATAATATTAAAAATTAATGTTTATGTAAAAGATAACCGTTTACATTTTTCATGACAAAATTAATTCATTTTGTTATATCTTACTGATTTCAATTATGATTTAATCAATCGTTTCTCTTATTTATTTTCTTAATTTGAAGTAGGTGAAGATAAATATGAACTGGCTATCAATGAAATATTTTATAAACGCAAACTGAACTGGACAATTCCGTGATACGTGTGATTTTATCTTTCTTTGCAAAAATATTATTTTCGAAAAATATCATTAAAATAAAAAGATATAATGCAAATACTTACGACTAAAGTTGAGGTTGATGGAGGCGGCGACCTCGCCCATCTTGTTCTTCGCCTTGACCTTGTAGAGGCCCGCGTCGGTCTCGATGACGTCGTCGAGTTCGAGCACCACCAGAAATTTGTTGGTGCCGACACTCTGCATCTTAAAGTTGGTCCTGTCATCCTCGCTGAGCTCGGTCTCACCTCGATACCAGGCGATGTCGGGTTTAGGCGAGCTCATCAGCTGGCACTCGAATATCAGCCGGTTGCCATCGTCCTCCTGCCGCAGCTGCGGCTTCTGCGTGAAGCTGGGCGCGAAGTCGTCGGCGACCCCCATCGTGGAGGCACGCCTTCGCACCTGTCACTACAACGAGACGGGGTAGACCCGATCCCGTTCACACCCGCGATCCAAGAAGGGAAATAATTCCTTCGCCCAGCTCGTCGGTTCAAATGGCGCCGGCCTGCGGCACCATCCAACCTGTTTCTGCCGCGGGTTTCTTCCGAGCTCGACGTCCACCTTTACACGCTTTTCACAGACTTCTGAGAATGCTGGAAGCGAAAGGACACAAGATTAGTACGTGGAAAATAGAATTTCCTCAAAGAGTTGAAATGTGTACTTTAAAATTTAAATTTAAATTTAATTTTAATTAATTTTAATAAATTTAAATTTAAAATATTAAATCGCATGTATATCACTTTAGAATATTAAAATAAATTCGAAGATTTTAAAGTAGAAAATTAATTATTAAGACTATTTTATTAATTATTAATTGATAAAATACTTTCAAGTCGCTTTAGAATACAAGATTACAAAATTAGAAGAATAGTAAAATCATCTGTTTTAACGAATCATTTCTTTAACAAAAATTCAATCAAACATAATTTCTTCTAATTTTCTAATTTCCCATAGTAATTTCTCAGTAATTATTAATT